CAGTAGCTTCACACACAAACAATATTCACAACTTTTTTATCATACTAATATTATAAATGTAAAAGTTGAGATGGATGGATAGATGTTTGTTAGAGTTTGTACCCTAACGGCTGAACAGTTTTCAAGAATTTTGTATAGATGTAGAGGATAGTCTACAAAAACACATAGACTACTCACATTCGCTTTTTTTAATTCTAGCGACCACTGTTCACAGACATCTGCATAGATATGTTGCCTACGTTTACTCAAAAGAGGTGAAACACAGAAAGAGAATATTCTGCCTACACCTAAATCTAATTCTTCACCAATAACACCTTCCATTATTATCCTTTTCTTGTACGAAAAGGTTGGGAAGAGGATTAAAATTAGATCTCCTGTACGGACACTCATCCGATGAAACGCGGAATTGCTTTTTCGACTGTCTTCTGTGTGGTCGTGGTATTACACTTAGCCCGTGCGAAGATATTAGGCGGGCTTTACCACTATTAAACACTTTTTCTATAGATGTATTAATATTACCTTTCTTTCGTACTAAGATAGAAACAGTGAACTGACCTTCGAGCGATGTGGACAAGACTTTTCCTTGGCGAGCGTCCGGGTTGTCGCTAAGAGGAAAACCAACGCCCATCTTAAGTGCGGCGGCGGTGGGCACACACATCGACCTGCCCGCACAACACATTACACCGACTATCCCACACACACACGGCATATATATAAATGTATACTTCATCTATCTTTACTAATATAATAAAGCGTAAACACACAACACTTCGTGGCGTAAGATGTCAGCAACTACAGCATATTTTTGAATAATTATTTCTTTAATGAAAAACCCTGCACTTACGACACGCTTTAGGCTATATATTTTCACGCGATTAAATTTAAGGGGTAAATAAATTGAAAAAACCGTCATGTGGGAAAGGGATCATAAACTACAAGCTACCAACATTGAGGAAGCAAGTTTATTATGGTAACGGTAATTTTGACATTTGATAGATCTAAACAATAAAATAAAGTTTTTATAATTCCATGCAGATGCACGGGACCAACTAGTAATATTACAAAGAGGAAAACTAAGTTTGATTGTAATGAATAGGCTCAAAAACAACTATGCCGATTTTAACGGAGTCGCAGGCAAAAGCTAGTACTAAATAAACAATATCTACTACTTCTATAATCGGTCTTTTAATTTTTAATAATCAAAGTGTTGGAGTCAAGCTTATTTTTAAAGTATCATAAAATTTAAAATCTTACTAACATTTAAATGCGAAATATAATATGAATAGATGTCTGTTAGAAGCCATATCGGGAAAGGCTCGATTGAATTTGATGAAATTTGGTGTAGATACAAAACACAGTCTGGAAGAACACAGAGGCTACTAAGTTTCGTTAAGTTAGAGTCGCGAGAGCTAGCGTTACTTATAATAACCGTTTTAACTACAACTTCAGTAACATAATTCCGGGGTTATCATATGATTGGGGGAAAATATCAATACATTTAAAATAAGAATGATATGAAGAAGGATTTATAACACATTTTAAGTCAATTTTTGATACAATAAATTTGTAGAAAGACACAAAACAGACAGAAATACATACCGCTTTTGCAACTGTTGTGGAGTGACTTTGGGCGTGGAGCGCGGCAGCGGCGGCGGCAGCAGGGGCCGCTCCTCCATCACAGAAGGCACACTCTTCTTAGGAGATATAAGAACTATCGCGTCGTAAATCTTCTGTAACGCTTGACGTGTGGAAGTTAATTCGTTCAACGCATCTGTATTTTCTTGAGCAGCCTATATGGGTAAAAAATATGTTTTAATAAAACAAAATATAGCAGAATACAAATAAATCTATTTCTTATTTTTAATTAGTCTTATAATGTTTCACTGAAGTTTAAAGTAAAAAAAAAAGAGTAATTTTATACAGGGAGGCAAAAACTCAACAGTTTAAGGGTTTGTTAACATCTGTTACAATGTTATGTCAACTCTACATCATATTAATCATATCTTCCTAATATTAGAAATGTGAAAGATTAGATGGATGGATGAATGGATGGATGGGTGTTTATTAGAGTTTGTGACCTAAACGGCTGAACCTATTTCGATGAAATTTGGTATAGATATAGAGATATAGATATATACCACGCGAGCGTAGTCGCGGGCGAAAGCTAATATCTCATATTTTCAAGTATTATAGTCAAAAGCCGTGACACTGAACATATAAAAAAAAAACAGTTCAAAGTAATACCTGATCATAATCAGCTCTAAGTTTATCATCCTCTGTCAATAACTTCTCGTTCTCCTTGGTGAGTCTCTCGAGGGAGCGGCGCAGTGACGTGACGCGCGTGTTCCTCTCCAGGTAGTAGCCCACGAACTCCACGGAGAAGGCGGGCGGCACGTGCCAGCGCCGCGACACGTCGCGCAGCGCACACATCTGCCACACAAATCATACTAATGTTATAAATGCGAAAGTTTACAATTGAGATGGATGGATGGATGGATGGATGGAAGGATGTTTGTTAAAGTTTGTAGCCTAAACGGTTGCAGGAATCTGGATGAAAATTAGAACACATGTAGAGAATAGTCTGGAAGAACACAGAGGCTACTCGCATTTGTTTTTTTTAAATACCACGAGGACGGAGTCGCAGGCGAAAGCTAGTATTATATATGTCCAAGAACTCCGACATATATATACACTAGCGTGAAATTAAAAACGATAACAAAACCCACCCTATTTTACTCACCGATAAAGATGCTTTTTAATAGTGCAAAAATTGAAATCGGTTCTGTAGTTGTGGTGTGGTAAAAATGTGAAATACCACATTAAACTTTGGTCAAGTTACCTTTAATGTGGGCTTTCATATTTATATACAAAAATCATAAAACACTCAAATTGAATATTTACCTGTGCATCTTGAAATTCTAAGGCATGTGTATCAATTCCCATACATTCAGCTTTTTTCTGAAACTTCCTCATAGCTGAGGCGCTGCTGTACAACATGCGCGCCATCTTTTGCGTCGGAACTGCAATTAAATTAGCCATTAATTTAAAAACATCATATTGAAATTGATCCTAATTATAAACTTTTCTTACCCCAAGGAGGATTTCTGTTCTCCTTCTGTTGTGCGTACTTTCTTCTATATTTAACAAGTTTCCTTTGTATCCGTAGCTTTTCTTCTGTGCTGAGATTCATTTTCAACTCCATTTTTCTGAAAAAATCAAAACAACATTAAAACTTTTACAAATCCAGGGTCTTATCCCAATAAATTGTAAATTGTCTGATAACATTCCAACGTGTAAAATATGTGATGGAAATATCGGATCTGGGTGTTGGAAATTCGAGATATTAATAACTGTCTAGAATGGAACAAGATTCTTAATATATTTTTTAATTCCGCGCGGAAAAAGTCGAAGTCGAAGGACGGATGGGTGTTAGAGTTTGTAGCCTAAACGAACGGATTCCAATAAAATTTGGCATAGATGTAGAGGATAGTCGGGGGGAACACATACGTTACTTACTTTTGTTTTTTTATTCCATACGGACGGTATGTCGGACGTAAGCTAGTAAATATATATACCTCTTGTCAGTTCTGAGTTGCAGGGCGAGCCAGTTGCGCTTGCGCTTCTTGACGAGCGTCTTGTCGGAGTGCAGGCGGCAGTGCGCGTAGAAGGGGTCCGCCTGTTCCACCTCCTCCGAGTGCGCCTCCGCCAGCAGCCCCTCGCGCTGCCCGCTGCGATGCACACAATTTTATAAAATGTTTATAAATAGTTAAAAAAATATAGCCTATGTCACTCACAGATAAATTACCTTTCTAATGGTGAAGGAATTATTAAAATCGGCTTAGTTTTTGAGTTATTTCAATACATACAAAAATAGAAATCTTTCATTTTTATAATATTAGTATAGGTAACGGCTCATATGTATACAGATAAGTAAGTTTGGCGGAAAAGTGTTTTTTAAGACATCTAATTATAAGTTAACATAGACGTATTTTTATTTCATTAACTAGCTTTCGCCCGCGAATCCGTCCGCGTGGAATTAAAAAAAAAAAAACAAAAAAAGGGCCAATGTGTTCTTCCAGACTATCCTCTATGAGATCCGTACAGACGTTTAGGCTACAAACTCTAAGAAACTTCCATTCATCTAAACTATGACATTTATAACATTAGTAAGGTATATGTGTAAATTTTATTTTCTATCATGTATCACTATAACATGATCTTTCTTTGTTTGCCTATGGGATCTTGGGTCTCTTATTAATTAGCGAAATAAAATTACATAATATAAATTTTAATTTGGATAGATCTAGCTTAGAGAAGTCCAAAAAGTGCAAGCAGTGTTCAAAATATCAAATCATTTTGTTCAAAATGTAAAGAAAAATATGAGTCCTCTTTTTTTATACAAAAAGGTGGTAAACGAACAGGCTGGCAACCTAAATCCGTCAAATTGGCGAAGCGACCGCTGCCCATAGATATCCGCTATTGCAAATGCGTTGCCTACCCTAAATCGACGGAAGAGGAGGCGCACATAAAGAGGATATTTTTCCTTTCTATGCGTCTCCTCCGCCGTCA